TGCTCCGAACCGTATAAAAATGCATATCGTAGTATGAAATTCTTCAGTTCGATACCTACTGAATGCTTGACACATGTCCCTGCAGACTTTAGGTGATTTAACAAATACTCACTGAAAGGCGTCGGAAGTTTAAGTTCATTGCCTTGGGTAAGACATCTTCCAGTATTACTGGACCTTACTAAATGAAAAGGTTCAGCCAGTGAGGAAAGGATTTTAAGTTTACACATCACAGGATCTACTAGCCGTTGTCCGTTGATATAATTTTGAAACTACCTCATTCGCATACCACAGCTGCACCCAAGGTTCTTGTGATGAAACCCGAACTTTTGCAAAGATGTTCCTTATCTCTCTTCAGCACATACTAACAGAAAGGGAAGTCTTGAAATACTTAAATTAGTGTAACAATGTTTGCATAATTCAAATATAGTGGTTTTTGATGTCTCTATTCATCATCTGTCAGGTCCGCGGCCCTTTTCACTGTCATCCTGTAAAAAGGTAATGAAATAATTTAATGAGGTATCACTACTTATTTGATATGAATGTTGCATGGCCGTTGAGCCGTAGAGACAACTACTTGAGGCCGGTTAAAGACTGTTCGAATGTAGAGGTTTTTGGTTTCATCCGTAAGCAAGACCTCTCAGTCGGCTACTGTTTGGTGTAGGATTGTTGAGATGTACAGTTTTTAGAGTTGACCCTTTATAAGTCTTCCTTGGTATCAGAAGCTTGCTGGTCTCCACCACTGCTGTTATCTCTACCGGCCAGCAGCAAGGTTACTCTCCTCCGCTGCACTATGCAGCAAGCAACTTACTCTGTGATTGCATCTGTTTCCAGTCTAGTGGCCAACCAGCTGACCTTTCTACCATAATAGAGTGTGTAAAAACATTTGTTCCAGCTAGTTTAACTTGTTGGATTATTGGAATACACAAACCCAACGGCAACGGTAAGGTGGTAGCTGTCGGTCGAGGATTAGTGTGGATTTCACTAACCATATCAAATACTGAATAAATGGTGAACATTGCTTTTTTGGCACCAGAAAAGATTTGGGAAAAAACATGCCTGCGAGATTAAGTGAATACATTCTAACAGTGTGTACAAAGTCGATCTAACAGTGTGTACAAAGTCGATGTAAGATTCTCCGCTGTTAGAATGCTCTTTAGAAATATCCAGTTAATTAAATTTTGATTTGAGTTTAGCTGACGAATGAATGGTTCATAGAGAGTCTTTCCTTAGTTTCTTCGAGTTCTGAAAATTATGCTGAAGTTCAGTTGATAATGTATTAAAATTGATGAATGCTGCTATTACTATGTCAGCAGACTTAGTTTCATTTTTAATTACAAATTTTTATCCGGTTCTTACTAATTTTGACTAACTTGGTTTCTTTCTATTTTTGTATCTCCATCTGTGACAAGGTAGAAGTTTCTGCGTCGAAATTTCCCAAATATGACGGGAAAATCAAGGAAGCGGAATTCAAATGTCAAACTTGAGGAACGAAATCCACCCATTTCCAAAAAAACAAAGGATTCCCAAAGTGGGGCGTCACTACTCGGATGTTTAAATTCCGAACAAATACAGGAGCGTATTTCACTGATTGATCAAGGATTTTATCTCAAATGTCCCCCAGATTTTTTTAGTTTTTATGAGTTTTGTAAAACTCTTAGCAACGATGCACCACTTGGTTTGAAAGCAGTGATATATTTTTATACTTTCTGTTAGATGCACTGTCTGAGATTGGCTTTCGTTTGGTTGGACCATTTGAAATTCTTCATCATGGATCTAAAGATCAGGTAAAGAAAGGACAGTGGTCTAATCACTACCGCTTTTATCATGATCCACCTGAGTTTGTGACTGTGGTTGTGTGTAGTAATGACCAGTCTCATATAGGTTATTTCAGGTAACATATAACGTAAAAATAATTTACTCAGAGATTCATATGAATCTACCCCTTTCGTCGCCAAGTCAACAACTACAATCAGTGGAGTAATTGAGTATTGTGGTCAAAATCTGTTTGCTTTTCTGAGGTTCGAGAATTTCAATAATACTTTAATATTTCAGAACTGAACTTGGCCGAAAAACATCTTGTCATACTAGTCATTTGTTGGAAAGTTTCAATGAGTTTGTATCCGCTAAGAATATTCTAATTGATGATTCCTCCTCATGTAAGTGTGTAACATTCTGTTTGATGAACTTTAAGTTATGGAGCATAGGAAGAAACATCAAGTTTGTGCCACAATAAACAGTATAGGCCTGATGATTGATGTATCTGAACGTGACCTTGGCTATCGTCCTATAAGTGTTTCTTACTGTAAGTTGGATCAGAAAATTTCAAGTAAATTTATTATTTTCGTAATAGCAGATACCCTAAGAGATTGACCGTATACGTGTATGGCAGTAGTAATAATAGTATTGGTTGCCCCTGTTAGTTCTTTCACATTTTTTTGTCGACATGTTTTGGTAGTTTATTTAGCTCCAGTTTGTCTGTTTTACTGCAGTTCCTCACTTTTGCTCGACTTTCTTAGGTTGGTGCAAGTCTCTGGGTAATCATAAGCATTTCTAGTTCGCATTACTCATGCATTTTGACTCCACTTGTTTCTTTTCTTCAAGAACTTTTAAATTTCTCTGTGTTTTACGTTCGTAATAGTTGGTGTTATAATTTACTTACATTTAAAACTAAAATATAAGTGCGTCGGTGGTGCAATACTCGCCAACCATACAGGTGGTTCGGGGTTCGATCCCCGGTTGACACACTCCTTTACAGATCGTAGAAAACAACCATAAAGACATTAAAAGGAGAGAACACAAAGTTCAGCAAACACATCTTTTCGGCGATTTCATTTTCAAAAGCTGTACAATCGCATTTAAAAACATAGTTTTACATGGATACATAATTGCGATGGCGAATAAAAGGTGACAATTATTTTCAACTAGATCTGGTTTACGAGAGGCTTCGAAACAAAATTAACACAGGATTAGAACGGATAACGAGTGTGTAGAAAATGAGCATGGAAACAAAATTGAAATAATAATTTTAACTTGAAGTGGAAGTTAGGAGGTGTGAATATAGATTACGAGAGCCTTAGAAACACTAAAATTGCACAGGATTAAGATATAATTGTAAAATAGTTATTTTAAACGAATTATAAATGTGAGCAGGAAAAGCATGGAAACAAACTTAAAATAACTGTTTTTATAACTGGAAAAATGGGGTGAAGCGAATGAAGACAGAGGGAGTAAGAATCACACACACAGCGAACGAAAAAAGATTAAAAAATCAGAAGCTAAGGGAACATACCGAACTAGGTCCATGGTAGTTGTAGAGGTTGGACTAATTTCTTCTGAACGCACAGCTCCGGCTTCTCGATGCATATTGCGAGGGCTTCTGCAGTACAGAGAAGTCGGAAACATACTGCTTTTGGTAGGTTTCTGTTGACTTTGTAAATTACTTTGAATGAATCAGTTGAGATGTTGTGGGAGGTGTTGATCAGATGTTCAATAATGGCACTTCTGATTGAACCGGTGCCTCCTCTTTGCAGCCACGCTGAGTAATGTTCTCTAACACGTTTCGAAAGAACGCGCATACAACGACCTATGTACCTAGCTCCGCACGAGCAGGTGAACTGGTATATGCACACTGAATTGGTCATATGCGAGAGTTTGTCCTTCGCGTTGTTTCGAAGTATTGGACGGCTAGAGAATGTCACTCTTGATGTTGCTGCAGGGAAGGTCTTCTTTGAAGAGCTGGATATTCTCCTCTTTAGGATATTGGCTGCCAAATCTCCCCTGAAATTCAGATTCAGATACAGCGTTTTCTTTGGCGCTGAATCGCATTCTTCTCTTTTTGGTTGAGGTTTCATGTTCTTTTCGACAAAACGTGTCGGGTAACCAATTTGAGCCAGGATATTTTTGAGGAATAGGAACTCCTCTTCCACGCAATCGCTGCTGCAGATTTTTCTGATTCGATGGGTTAGTGCAATGATGAGAGCTCGTTTTCGGCTCAAAGGTATCCAACTATAGAAATGTCGGTTTTCTGTGGATGGACCTCTTCAGGGTTCCATCATCTCTTCTTCTTAATTCCACGTCCAGAAATGGAATCTTTGAATCGTTTTCTAATTCCATTGTGAATTTAATCGAAGGATGGAAATTATTAAATTCTTGTAAGATGCAGTTGAAGTTCGAGTTGTCGTAGCAGACTATAAAGGTATCATCAACGTATCTTTTGTACAGTAGTAATTTGCTTGTTGTTGATTTTAAAACTCCACTCTCCAAACTGGCCATAAAGCAGTCTGCTAAAAGCGGGCCAAGAGGAGATCCCATTGCAATTCCGTCTTTCTGTCTGCGGATGTCGCCGTTAAAGGTGAATTGTACATTCAGCGTGCACCTCAGTAACAATTCCTTCAGATATGATATTGGTACTCCGGCGTTTGTATTGGATTTCTCCATATAATTGCACAGAAAGCAAATTGTTTCTGTTAGTGGCACGTTGGTGAAGAGAGATTCGACGTCTAGTGATAACATTCGTTTATCATTTACATTCAAATCTTTTATACATTCAGTGAACTAAAAAGTATCGCGAAGGGACAAATACTCCCTTCGCGATACTTTTAGTTCACTGAATGTATAAAAGATTTGAATGTAAATGATAAACGAATGTTATCACTAGACGTCGAATCTCCCTTCACCAACGTGCCACTAACAGAAACCTACCAAAAACAGTATGTTTCCGACTCTGTACTGTAGAAGCCCTCGCAATATGCATCGAGAAGCCGGAGCTGTGCGTTCAGAAGAAATTAGCCCAACCTCTACAACTACCATGGACCTAGTTCGGTATGTTCCCTTAGCTTCTGATTTTTTAAAATCTTTTTTCGTTCGCTGTGTGTGTGTGTGCGTGATTCTTACTCCCTCTGTCTTCATTCACTTCACTCCATTATTGCACTTATGAAAACAGTTATTTTAAGTTTGTTTCCATACTTTTCCTGCTCACATTTATAACTCGTTTAAAATAACTATTTTACAATTATATCTTAATCCTGTGCAATTTTAGTGTTTCTAAGGCTCTCGTAATCTATATTCACGCCTCCCAACTTCCATTTCAAGTTAAAATTATTATTTCAATTTTGTTTCCATGCTCATTTTCTACACACTCGTTATCCGTTCTAATCCTGTGTTAATTTTGTTTCGAAGCCTCTCGTAAACCAGATCTAGTTGAAAATAATTGTCACCTTTTATTCGCCATCGCAATTATGTATCCATGTAAAACTATGTTTTTAAATGCGATTGTACAGCTTTTGAAAATGAAATCGCCGAAAAGGTATCTTTTTTGCTCTGCTTTACCTTTCTGAGGACATAATAAGACTGGTGAAGAGGCAACGCTGGCCATGAGGCTAGCTACGCTATCCCGTCAAAATAAATACCACTGTTACTGAAATTTGAAGCGTCTCGGTGGAATCCCTATGTTGCCCCAGGAACTTTACGGAAAAAAAAATATGTGGGCATCTTTGGTCTTCTCCTGTGTTGTCATTATTTTTCCGAATAGGATTTTAAAAGGATTCGTGAAAACATTTTTTTGGCATGGATTTGATCGATATCCAGCTGAGTCACCAGATGACTTCATTTAAAGAACCACTGAAGACCAGGATGTACTGGAAAGCTGTTTTGTTCGAGTCTTGTTGCTTCAGCATTGCTCACCCGTTACCCAACTGGAAATCGAATATACGACTTTCAGGTTACATTGTCAGTCCATTGATTATCCAGCGGATGGGACCAAATCCAATGGACCATGAATCCTAACTGAAATTTGTGCATTGTGGTAGATTATAATTCCATTATGGGTAAAATTTATTTTGATAAAGTCTCACAGTGTTATGCAGTTAATATTTACTGATGATGTTTCGAGCACAATTTATTGCTCATAATCATAATAATGCTCATAATTGCTCATATCATACCTTGTGCTCGAAACGTCATCGGTAAATATTACTGTATAACACTGTGAGACTTTATCAAAATAATTTTTACCCGTAATGGAATTAATCTAATGCTCACTGATTACTGTCTATGAGATGAAATCGCCTGGAGTTTCAGCGATGGTCAGTGAAATCCTCTAGATCAGGTGTAAGGACAAATAATTTCCTTGGAAATTGTCTGACGGTTGCGGTATATATCGTCAATAAGCGGAAGTTGGAATTCATGGGCCATTTGATTCCGTCTCAGAGAAGTGTATCCGTTACTATCATTTGGAAAAGCACAAGGCAAAACTACACTAAATGAAAATGTGCGGTAGGAAAAACATTAAAGATTTCAAAAATATGTCCCATGACAAGTTATGATTACATTAGCTTCATTGATGTTAGTGTAGAGTCATATCCCCAGAAAACTCCCAAAATTGGTTCTTAGCAAGCTAAGAGCCTCAGTCAGGTGGTTTACACTTCCCTACGTGACTGAAACCAACAGTCAGAAACTTCGTAGATGAGTGACCGTTTTTATTCTGACCACCTACAGTAATTGTCTTTCGGCTGGCATTGTTCCTCGAGCAAGATAATGTCTCGACATGCGTAACACGTGTCCCGGGTGTCTCAATGAATGCATTTTCACAACATCATCGATTGGTCTTCCCTCATTACCTAGCACTAAGCTCAGTCTCGTAATCTTTCACCATATTGCTCCACTAAGCAAATATGATTGAATGTGGCCATCTTTGGTCAAACGCCGTTAATCTATTCAAATCCTGCTCATTTACCAGCCGTGTCGCTGCTGTAAAGTAGGACGGAGCAAATAACTGTGATAGGTAGCCAATTATTTTCTTTCAGACGGAAATGTAGGTGACGAACGACGTTGTCCCAAGAAACCGTCAATTAAACCTGACACATTTTGAGTAAATACAGTGATTTTCGTTTTAAATCACTTCAATCCTCATCCTTGAATGTGGACTTGATGCAAATCAATGCTCAGTCGTCATTCCTTAGGCTGTAAAGGGCTTGACACACTAACATTTTCTGAAGCCTATAGAAGTCTTTTGTATATGTTGTCATTGAATGAGGCCAATAGCGTACATCAATTCAGTTAACTTTCTTACTGGTTGTCAAGTTGATTCTTAAGTTTCCCCAGTGGGACAAAGCAGTTGCCATCCATCTACCTGCAATAAAATGACAGAGTTGTGATACTGGGTACCTCTGTCAGACAATGATTGTCGTCATTTTGAATGAAAAATATCCACATGTTTTTTTACGACTGTATTCTCAGTAGATTGCATTGATTAACTGGACATGCTTTATTGACACTCTTTAGTCATTTTTCGATTCGTGTGTAAAGGTCACCGTAGTTCGCCGATCGATCAGCTTAGACAAGGTGTAAGGGTAATCTTCATGTTTGTTTCAACAGTAAACTTGGTATGGCACCAGGTTTCATGATGCCTATCAACGTCATTGTTTCATAAGTGTCAAACCACTTCACTAACTACAAATCTGACACCATCCATAAGCTTTTCGCCTAACAGCTCAGTTGCCTGTTATTTTATGTCCATTGAGTCTTAGGCACACACGTAGACTGTATGATAGATATTCGAAGTTGACATAACCGTCTCAGCCTTACACAGATCTGCAACGATATTTATTATGAAAATGGCTAATTCGTGTTCATTATGGAGTCGACGTTGGGGAGCAAGTGCGACAGCTCCTGTAATTATGTTCCGAAACAGTACAACACAGGATTATCTGTATAAATTGTAAGAGATGATTACTTGTTGGTTCCCCTGTCTAACTGCTGACGTAATACCTCTAATTCATCATTAAAGTCACACGCTAATGTGGCTTTGTGTGAGCACTTTACTTTTAGCAGCTTACGATAAAGCTCATTCTTTACTTCCTCCAAACAGCTTAGGTTTATGCCACAAATAAGCGTATCACAAACATACATTTCGTTAGAAACCTACTCTGTCGAGTAGCTAACAGTCAATCTGGCCGTTAGATACCTATTATGAATCTTAATGCTTGTCAGATGAGTTATACAGATTTACTGTGCTAAACAAATGAGGCTTATTGAGTAAACACACATTACTGTTTTGTACACATTCCAGAGATACAGCATAGACTTAAGAATCATATAAATTCTAATGTTGGCAGTGTAATTATACTAAAGTAGTATTCGTGTCTTACATGCTTGATCCGTTGATGATCACAGATTGGAGAAAAGAAAACTGAAAATGAATTGTTGTCCAACAACTTACTATCTGTGTTTGTAAGCACTTAGCAATGAGCGATACTTTTATGTTAGGACTAGTGCTACTATTCGGCTACCGAAGCTTCGGTAGGTAAAATAGAATGCCGACCCACGGATCAATCCTTACTAGTCGAGCATCGTAATTAATCTGCTACAGCCCCACAAGAACATTTAAGACGCTTTTAGAGAAAGGTTTCAAAGATTGTTTAAGGGTCAAAGGTGGATACGATGTGTAAAAATTATATATATTTGTAAAATCTCAGAGAAATTGTAATGAGTAGTTCCAGCGTTTCATTCGGTAAACTAATCCAAACTTCTTCAGGGAAAGTAATCGAAATTAAAATGACAAAAGTGTACACTTAAAAATGACATCTTGTTTATAAAAACTTTGTATAATCATATGAGTCGTGAAACAGGCATCAAAATATCATTAACGAAATTGCATGAACTGTGATCAAAATTTTGCCTCAGACTTCTGACAAATATTAGTCTGCTTTTGTTAAACACTGTAAATAGTGCGTACTTTTATTCAGAATTTTAGTGATTACGTTCGACTAAAGTCCACGGTCTGAATATGGAAAAAAATATGTATATGCAGTATGCAATGTTGTGTGCGTGTGCAGTAACAACTGTATATAATTTGTTAGCCTCTTCATAAGAAGATATGAACAATCGGGAATTTGTATCAGGTATGATTGATTCGTGATACATATCCATTCTTATTTATTAATCAGGACTTGTCATCCATCAAATAACATCATACCACGTCTGTTCAAACTTTTGGGATTCTTCCATATACGTAGGATACAATAATAATAATAATAACATATACGTAGGGCTTTCTGCAGTCAGTCTTTCTTTACGCGAACCAAAACCTTTCTGTAGAATCTTAGTCCCATCAAAGTCGATCTTGTGTCCGGTTTCTGTCGAGTGCAGTGCAATCGCTGATCTGTTTTCTAGCTTCTTCAAATCTGCAGAGGTCTTTGGAACCATCTTTAGATATTGTTTATGCTCCTTCACTCTTATATTTGTTTGGAAATTTCCCCTACATATACGGCGTCACAAATCCCACATTTGATTTGGTGCACACAATTCTGTTAGTTGTCTTCTATTTTATTCTTGATCTTGACCAGTGATGAATGTAAGGTGTTCGTTGCAAGAAAATACACTTTTGTCATGATTATCGAGAAATCGTTTTATTTCATCCGATGTTTCTTTGCGGTAAGGAATCACCACTGTACTAACCCAAGTCTTATCAACAGATTTCGATTCACCCTTATCTTGATATTTTAAATATCCTTTTATAAAGGCCTTCGGGTAGTTATTCGATTCAAGAGTGGACTGGACCAATTTTAGTTTCGTGCTGATCTCTTCCTCCTCAATAACTAGACGTTTGGCTTAGTTGATCAGATTCTTGACCACAGTTACTTTGGTGGTAAAGGGATGCGTTGAGTAGTAGTCTTTTTATCTGTACGAATCTGTAGGCTTTCTGAAAATGTTTATTCTAAGTTTACCACCTATTTGTCTTTTTACTAAACAGTCCAGGAACGCCAAGCTTTCGAAAACTTATTGGTTTACGTCATATTGTTTATTAAATGAAAAAGTTTATTCAATGTACTGCTCCTGATTATGATGAAGGTATCATCCATATATCTTAACCACATTCGTGGTAACTAGAGCATCTCATAATTACATTTTTTTTCTTATGAGTGCATAAACAGATTTGCAACTAGCGGTGATCTCATAGCAATGCCTTCTGTTTGACAGTATAGAACGCCTCTAAATGTAAATAACGTGGAGCGTAGACACAATCCCAATGCCTTCATAATTTCATCCGTATTTAAATGATAAGGAGCACTGAGTTCGTTGCCAGAAAGAAGTAAATTATAAATAATACTTAAAGAATCTTTAATGGGACCATTCGTGAATAATGAATAAACATTGAAACTTACTTCATCTTCCATATAAGTCGTGTTCATTTTTCTCTTAAATTCATACGAATTCTTAACTCCATATTCCACTTTCATTTCACACGGACTTAGTATTCGATAGATGTACTTAGAGAGTTCGTAGGTTGGGAAATCAGTAAAACCCAGAACTGGATGTAATGGAACGTCTAGTTTGTGTATTTTTGGTATTCCATAAAATCTCCAGGCACTGCAACTTTTTGTAGCCAGAGTAAACCAAAGTGTTACATCGAGTTTCTCTTTTATTGGCTGTAACATTTTACTTGTTTCAGCCTTCAGTTTATTTAGTGTCGCCTTGACTTTGTCATGTTGACTTTCTCATAGGGTCCGACTTTAAGGTGATCAACAGCTTTCTTTTCATAATCTACAGAGTTCATAACAACCATGGTAATGTACTGCTACTTCATGCCGAAAATAACAGATGACATTTTGAGATTTTAGGTTTACGAGGATACATACTTACTGACGACTTTGGAGGGCGTAGGCACTTCGCCGTGAATTTACAGAAAATAGAGTTCATAGGCCATTTGGTTTCAGCTTAATGATTGGATGGTAACCTTCTTGCCTCATAGCCTGGGAGTCCCATGGTTGGCTCTTGGTCGGATATGGACTCACTTTCTTGAGTCACTACAGAGCAGGACGGAACGGACATCCCTTGCTCTGTTGTTTCCAGTAGTTCTTTAACTGATGTCTGTTCTTGACGAAAGCTATTTGGACCTGTCATTAGGTTAACAAGTCTTATATTAGTCAGATAGTGACTAGTCTCGTTTCTCCAATTTCTATGTATTTGTGATAATCAATGTCATCTTTGATAGTGGGTAGTATGATGGTTTCTTTCCGCAGTTTTACTGTTTTTTGTATCAACTGTGTCACCAGCTGTGTTTATGTGTTGTATATGAGTACAGTAAAACTTTCAGTACTTGTTTTAGTTCTCTTGCTTGTAGATTGCCATTTGGGTCACATACCTCATGGGTATACATTAAAAAGTTTTCGATACTTTGAATTTTAAACACTCACTTCTGATTTTCTTCCTTTCATAGCTGAACTAAACTCCAGATTGAACAGCATCATCAATGCAAATTCGAAAGAGGCACAACTAGCTAAATTTATTCTACTTGATGAATTGATTACTTATGCCAACTTTGCCAATGATGAAGGAGATTTCGGACAGGGTTTAGAGTTGGGTTTATCTCTATTGGCGTTCCACCCAAAAGGTAATATTAAAAGCACTATAGACAGTTATACTATTTATGTTCACCGAATAATATTGTTGTGAGTATCCAGTTCAGCGTTTTAGTTCTTGTGTTAATTTTCATTCGTGCTTATCGGTTGTATTTATGTCGAAGTCATTCATGCGTATAATGTTTCAGTTTTTAAACTGACCTGTAAGGTTTTCTGAAGTCACATGACACTTGCATATTCCTGAAAAAGCTTAATCGCAAGTATAAATACTCGAAGAATGTTGACACAACGGTGTCATAGTGTTTATGTTAACTCACTGTCACTGGTCTCTGTATTTCCCAGTGTGAAATGCAGGTCACATCTTGGAGATAATAACTAGTGTGTTTTGGTGTTATTTATTTGCAACAGGAACTTAATGATATTCACATTCTCATATATAGCGAATTAGCTGTTACTGTCATTCAGTTACTTCAGGTACCGATTATTCTCCGTATATATATATATATATATATATATGCGTCGGTGGCACAGTGGTTAGGACTCTCGCCGACCATGCACATGGTCCGGGGTTCAATCCCCTGCCGGCGCACACCCGATATCTATGGTCGGCCTGAATTTGGGCTACCTATATCCATGCTGAAAATTCCACACTTGTACTGAAAATACGGTGTGGAATCAAGCTGTAAATCAAAATCAATAAATAAATATATAATTTTTATCCCAGGCGGTAAGACTTCTAGTTGTTGTTTTTTTTTCACTTGGCGTTAATTAAAATTCAGTCCGAATGAAGTATGCCCTTTTCCGATTCTCACAGTTATAAATAAGATATTATCACTACAGTGATGTGGCGGATACACGCTTTTTACATAGAATAGCAGATTAGTTATAAGTTGGAAAAATGATTAGTATTCATGTGGAAAACGTGCTGAGGTAATTGTGACTGAATCAAAATCATTTTATTTAATATGTACTCATCATTGTAGCATTCTCCCCGGACGCTCGAATTTTCTATACATTCAGGCACTAAGAAAATAATTCTGATTTCTTTTCTCATTATATAACCCCACGTCATTCTTTTCACATATTGATTACTCCATGGTGAAGTACTTGCAACAGTCATAATATCTTCTGTTTGATTCATACTGTCTTTGTCCTAGCCATTCACCAAACATGTTTTTCAACCTTGAACTAATCTCTCAATATTTCTTCCCCACATTGCATATCTAAGCGAGACAAGAGTTTATTACTGTGAATTCAGTGACAATGTCCGCAACACTTAGCACAAGAAACAGTATCCAAAATTTTAACTCTAATGTGAAGTCGGTGCTCTTATATGTTCAGAGATTTAGTGACCCACTGGAAGCATTTTCAACAGGCTTCAGACTTTCATTAACACGTGTTTGCGCCGGATATCGAAGGTGACCTACCAGAAAGGATAAATAACAAGGAATGGTTGTGGCAGAAAATCAACCAACAATCAATTAGTCAGCAAATATTCAGAAAGAAATCAAGATTTGTTGGACATGCACTCGAGTAGACTGTTGAGTGACATCACACGCCAGGCCGTGGAGTGGGGAAACCCACAGGGAAGCGATGAGGTGGGAGTGGGAGGGTGTGGTATAGAGGAGATCATGTGAAGAGGAAATGACTGCTGGGAACAGAATTTAATGGAGATATGCAGCTTGGTGTCCTATGTTCCACCCAGAACTCAAGGGAAAATTAACAACAATAATACATTGTATGAATCTATTATGATTGATCGTCATCATCGCTTCACACTTTACAATATTTTGTAACTGCATTCAAATCAGCACGTTTGCCATATAGGTAGTACTTATTTTGATACCCTGTAGTTAATATGTTATTCTACCTTGAAAAAAATGTACCTGCAATTAATGTAGTGATGATAAATATTTAATTTATAACTGTGAGAATCTGAGAAGAATGTTCTTCGTTCAGACGGATTTATAACTCATAACACAGGAATATATCACACTCTGATGTTATTGCTAATTTTTGTTAATTATTAATAATTATCACTTCTTCTCTCCCTCTTTGCCTAATTTCAGGTCGACCACTAAAATCAGCGGACGTACTCAATAATAAAATCAAACATTTACTGTCTGTTGGCTATAAATCAGCTAAGAAAACCGAATTCAGTCAAGTTATTGAAGCTCACATGGACGACAGGCGTATTGAACCGTTAACCTTTACTGAAACTTCTTAGATTTCATAATGATATAGTTTCTCATATGCATTTATACGTACCTCAACGATAACGACAGATTTTTTTCAATATTTGTACCGTTAATACACTTTTTGTTTAAACAGCTCTTAATGCTCGACTTTTGTTTGTTTGATGGAAATCTGTTTTGTGTAAAGAATAGACTTGAATTCCCACTAGATTAGTAATTTCCTGTAGTTACTTTTGACGCATATACTATATAGCTAAAGTCCTTGGTACTTTTAGATTATCAGGGGTATATCCTAGAAACAAAACCAGTTGCACGGTGTACTCGCTGTTTATCATCGGATTTATTGAAGCTAACTCTTATTTCAGTGTCTTGTTACCTATTTACCGTTGCGTTTATATTTTCTTTTTGTGTGTTGTTGCAAAATGTGGCCAACTAAGCATTGTTATTTATAGATAAATTTCTACGTTAATAGGTGTGTAATACTGAACATTAGTGTAGATGAAGCCAAGTAAGCTCGGTTATGTTATTGTGAATTCAGATGCCTAACTTTAATTTTAACCGTCATGATATTTCAATGTTTGAAATCGTAGGAAATAACTTTCAAGATTATCTACATGATTTAGTATCTGTTATCATTTTAAATTATTTTTGATATTTGCTCACTTATCGTTATCGATTCTAGTAATCTTGCTGTTGTTGTCAAAAAATCGATAACAAACTGTATGTCGTGAATTTAATTTGTGGATGGTGACTAGCAGTGGATTCCAGGATGCGCGTTTCGTCCCGTTTGGGACTCGTCGTCCGGATGTAACTGCATTTCCCAGTAAGTGATGATGTTCCCACCGAGGCTCGAACCCAGTGCCCTTAGTTTCAAACGCCAAAGCGTTATCCACTAGACACATCGTCGGAGCATCTGCACAAGAAGCCGACATGTCAACCTGAGACCGAGCACTTCGGTCCAATCAATCGACGGGAAAATCTCAAATTCAATTAAATGTTTCGTCGTGAAGTCTGTCGCCGAGCCAAACAAAAATTCATATGCTAGACTATTTTTTCCCTCATTAATTAATGCTTTAAATTTCTCTTGTAAGTTTTCTTTGTCGGTTGTCTTCAGTGGTTTTCTTGCAGTTTTGTTTCGTTTTGCCTGACATTATGACTATGTTTCATATGAAGTTTGATCAGCGTTAACGTGTCTGTTAAGTACATAAGGATCCAACAACTATGCCTCTAGGAATTTTGTTAAAAGCATTACATTTCCTTAGTTGAATTTAAGCCCGTAGTTTTCCACATACATTGATGTGTATAAATTGTATGTATGCTATCCTAATAATTTTTGATTTCAGACGTATCATATTTTTAACAACTGTAAAATACATTCCAACTTACTGTAGTCACGTATGGGGCAGGTCTATTTTGGTTCAAAACTAGTTCATTTAAGAATAGTTACCAAATAGATGATAGAGATTTTAAGTAGAAGCTCATCTGATATTTTCAGGAAATACCGGTTTACACTGAAATTTCATAGTGACTTATTTCTGATACCCTTTAGCGTTGAAATCATGATGTATAAATTTCTGGTTACTGTAAATTAAATCAAAATTGTGAACACTAAGTGGAGCGCTGTACATACTGCTGATTAATATGGGTAACTGAAAAATTCATCAATTAAAGATCCACACAAGCCAAAAAGATTAGATCTAAAATCATCAGCCAAAATTAGAGGGGTATCAACCAACTTACCTGAGTTGAGTTAATTTTAAAACACCGTTGATAGTGACGTCGGCTTCACATGAACTAAATCTTCATGTTTTAAGATCATAAAATCTCTGCTAATAGAAAGTGATACCGGTAAATGCCAGTAGTCTTCAAATTCTCATGTTTAATCAGTTGAGAGAATCACTTTGGAATTTAATATTAGCGTATGCCAGATGAATAGACCACTCTGGGTATTTATAATTCTCACTGATATCATACGTTATTAGTTTCCGAAAACTTCGAAGATACACATAAAGCTTTTATTCATTTGGGGTAACGCTTTACTCCTATGCCCATTTCACGCTAGATCCGGCAAACATATGGACTTATCTGTAAGTGGTAGGGAAATATTTGCCAGTTGGTGCTTTTGTTTCAGTTGCTTTGAGGTGATTATCAGCTTAGACTTAGTCAGAACTGTGTCAGCATATGTAGCTAGTTGATAATGTCCTTCGTGCAGCTTGGTCTTCACTATCCTTGGCTTGTCTGCTTTTTCTAAGCTGTTTAATTACTATGTATCAGTTTTACTGAGTCAATGTTGGAGTCTGGTGTTTCATTAGGTTCAGGAACTTTCTAAGCAGCTAAGGTCACTTTAAGAGGTGTTCATAACTGTGAAGGGTAGGAACTGAGAAATTAAGGAATAGACTTGCGGTAAAGAAATGTTGTCTGCAGAGTTAGCTTAACTTTGTAACCTGGAATTTTCCTTTAACACTTGGTAATGGGCATCAAGAACAACCCAAACTGATATGAGGCACCAGATTCGATTAGTTTGGATTTCTGCGAATCGCAGAATGAAAACGAGCAAATGAATTTCTCAGTTATATAAGTCAAAGGCTCCAGTAGTGCATAACATTCTTAACACAGTATAACAATAATGAAATAATAAGAAGCATGAGGTGTCTGCGCTGCCTTCAAAGTGCATCATTACAATCAACAGCAGATCTATGTCTAAAATAGGAATGCTAGGATATACAGTGTAAGGTATACAGATTTTGAATGGACATGGTTCTAGAGAGAGTGGGGCTTACATACCTTCAACATAGGGTGAGAACTACTATGCGCAATGGAATGTTGGCAGAACAAATGAGATGCGGTTTTATGGAAATGTTCTATTTGTAACAGTAGACAAAAGGTAAACTTACACTACTTATCATTTTCAAGTAGTATAAAGTTAAAGACAACAATTTTGACAAGAGTTTGCTGGTAGGGAAAATTAAGATAACGCACAGCTGAATAAATGAAAAAAATGGCTGGTATCCTTTTCTTAATCACTAGATAGGTTATATAAATTAGTTGTATTATATTGTACTACCCGTTAAATTATTATACTGGACCAAAATGCACCCTTACATAGGTGTGTCATACTACTTAGTGGTTAGCGATCTGGCGACTGAAGCCACGCGTAATGGGTTCGAGTATCAGCGGGAATACCATCACACTGAGAATGAATATACACCTAGCCGGCGAATCCCAAGTAAGATGAGATGACCACTGTGTAAATCACTGTTAGTCACTACCACCCAGATAACGCCAAGTTACGTAACAGTTTGCACGAATTTGTTTTTATACTGCAACTTGTATATTTGAAGTGCCAACCACACATTAGAAGATAAGAGGATGATTAGACTTTTCTGAATAAAAGAGAGACCTACTAAATAAATCTACTTAGGCTTGATATTGAAAAGTGGCATTGAAGCACTCCATCGCACAAAATGTATCATTTGGAGTCGCTGTGGGACCAAAGTTCAAAAACCAAGACTTACAGGTAACTGGTGAGCAGAGGAAACACAAAAGCCAAAAAATGTTTATCCAGCCTAAACCTGGAGATTATCTGGATCATGGTCGAAAAATTGAAATGCATCCGATACAGCTGAATTTATATGGGTTTGCTATGAGAAAAAGTTTTTCGCCAATATTGTTTTCACGTAGATGAATGGCTCTACTAAATGGCTTGTTTTATCATTCCAGAGGCAGCTATTGATTTTGTCGAGAGACGGGTATTCCTATTTAAACTATCATATTCAGAGGGCGAGATTACATTTACATAATATAATTTGGTCACAAGTCCTGTTCTTTATATTACGAAATGAATTCTTTAGAGATTTGTTTATTTACATCGTGGCTTGGTTGAAGAATTCATTTACGAGTGTGACATTCTTTACTGATTTTTCTAAAAGATTGTAATACACCTTTTCATTGTTCATTTCATACTGTATATCTGGAAACTGTACTGTAAAACAGATTTCTGGAGAAGATTAGTCAGACGATCAATTTGTATATTTGCCTTCATAACTACGCGTCAATTAATAGATACTTTTGTTACTACATGCTTTCGAGCAGCGTATTTACTGTTATGAGATTGACTCATTGTGTAGAATGTGCTGAAATGTGAGATTAGCGTGAAATGGAAATGCCTCTCTTTAGTGTGTCTTGTAGCGCTTTATATTTCTTTAAGTTAGTATTTTAGTTGCGAAATACTCACACGAATACCAGTAGATTAACCATGATGCACCTAGTAAATACAAAGGCTCATCCGATGACATTGGAACATGTATTCCAATAAAGTGATGAAGTGATCATTACGTGGTACTGATTATTATCAGTTTCACGAAAACAGTAACATGAGCCGACTAGTGAGCGTCTACCAAAATGATAGAATGTAATTGGTTGTTTTTCTGATTGGCAGATTTTCGAGTTAGTCCATTTTCGCACACAACAATTAGTCGAATGGAAATCTGTTTATTATCAGAATTTTACAATTTGGGTGTTATAGCTTATTTAACAAAGTTCGTGGTCATCTGCTCTAAATGTGCCTTATGTATTGAAAATTCTCTGGTAGTTATAATTATCTCCTATTCAGAATTAGAGTAACATTGGGAAAAACTACTCACACTTGTAGTTCACACATAGACCTAGTTGTTTCTTTAATTATTCAGCGGTATTTATTTGATGTTATTATAAATTGTTACTCATTATTCAGATAAAGATGACTAGATTTGTTCTTGTTTCTTCATTTCAATGTAACATGTACACTTAGAAAAGTCTCTCCAATGGTGTTTTGTTACCGGTCTTATACTGAAAAAGCGACGAAAGTATTCCAATGTAATATTTACAATATGTTATTACTCCAATTTGAATTAAGCGTTTATGGTGAGTCACTTCTAAATCGGTTAGTGTTAACTTCATAACCGCTTATTCAAAATGGAGAACTCCAACCACTAGAGCACTTCTATCTAGATAACTCACTAGCAACTTGACTGATGTTTCAAATTTTGCTGCT